AAAGGCAGCGAACGGTCTGCTGCTACTGGAAGCTGCTGTAATAAATAAACAAGATGGCCAGTTGTCAGAGGTAAAAATTACACCACTGAAAATGCAATTGGGTTTCAGAGACCTTCATACTTATACTGTTTGCAATAAGAAGAAATAGTATTTCATAAATCAGCCTTGAAGGTCATATACACACACATAATATATATATATATTTACACACACATATATATATACACACACACACTGTAATTATATATATATTATATATATATATACTGTAATTGCAAATTTAGGACTATTGTTAACTGTCATAACAAAATAAGAAAATACATCAATAATTGAAGCTGGTATTAAGCAGAAAAATTACATGTTCCATTTAGCATGGTATAAAAAGTCTATTTAGCAAATGAAGTCATTGAGCATTGTATACATAATTGATAATGATATATTTCGTTTGGTGTCTATTATTTGTTCATTAGAACTTTTTCAGAAGTAAAGTTGCAACCAAAGTCGTAAAAATAAAGGAAGTACATGAAATTACTCAAGATTTATCAAACATTTAAATAATTGTTGACCATAAGAAAACATACATCTTTTTGAATCTTGCCGGCCAAAATGGGTAGGGGGAGTTCAAAGTTGTTAAGTCATATCGCTTGCATTGAATATTTATACCGAGGCTGTGGGAAAAATGCTTTCCTTTTCTTTTTTTTTTACCCTTTTGTTTTGCTGAACTTTGGTTTTAATATAGTTACATTTCCAGTCTCGTCACATCTTTCTGAGTGATTTTGACAGAGGAGACAAGGAGTTACACATCAAAAGAAACATAACACAAAAATAAGCACGAGCCAGATTAGAAAAAGGCAATGGCCCTCACCTGGAGAAGGGCTGCCTGCTACAGCAGCAGGACTGCCAGCTTCCCTGGCTCTTGACACTGACAACCGAAGAGACCTGAGTAGAATGGTAGCTCACCAGAAAGTCAAATCTTTGTAAAATGACTTTTTGGGGGAAAAAAAGAAAAAGCCCTGTGGTGACATCTTCTTAAATATAAGCATTAAATAAAAAATTATAGTAACTAGGGCTCGTCTCAGAGTATTGTCTTTAACTTCTTGATTACATTTAACTCAGTTTCTTCCCTAAAATGATTGTTTTCAAAACTGCACCTATAGGAAGCAGGTTCTTCCTTCTCTTGTTATTCTCAAAAATCAAACTCACTCCATCCATTGATTGCGATTCATGGCGACCATATCTATACAGAGACGGAGACAGAGCACAAGTGCGCTGTGCGTTTCTGAGACTGGGAACCTTTAGGGGATTAGAAAGCCTCCTCTTTCTCAAGTGAAACCTGGTGATTTCCAAGCACTGACCTTGTGCCAAGCAGCCCAATGCATAGCCCATGAGGCCACCCAGGCTCCCTGGCTGGTGTTAGGTACCACCGAGTCAGTTACCTGACTCCTGGCAATCCTATGGGCACCCTAACCAAACAACGCCCTGCCCTGGGCCAGCCTCACACTCCTGGTCACCTGTGAGCTGACCGTGACAGCCACTGTTTTCATCCGCAAGGGCTTTCATCTTTTTCATTCACCTCTTCTTTACCAACGGTCTCCCCTGATCACAAATCCAAAGTACTGGAGATCAAGTCTCGCCACCCTCCCTTTGAGGGGGCATGGTGGCTGTAATTCTTGGGAGACAGAATTGTTCCCAATTGTTCCCATATTGTTCCAGTGGTGAAGATTTTAGTTTTCTTTACATCGAGCTGCAATCCATACTTAAAGCTGCAATCCTTGATCCCTATCTGCGAGTACCTCAAATTCTCCTCTTTCAACGAGCAAGGTTGTGTTGTCTGCATGCAGATCACAGGTTGCTTGTAGACCTTCTTCCAATCCTGATGCAGCGTTCTACTTCATGTAGTCCAGCTTCTTGCATTATTTACTCAGCATACATACTGAGTAAGTATGCTGAAAGAATACAACCCTCATTAACACCTTTCTTGGTTTAAAACCACATAGTAGTCCCTTGTTCTCTGAGAATAGCTGCCTCTTGGTTCATGTGCAGCTCCCTCTGAGCACAGTCATTCTCTCCCACATGATGTCCATTTTCATTCTTGGATATTTCAGTATCCATGTCGAATGTTCTGGTTTCTCAGTTCATTAGTTAGACTCCTTTCCTTTAGCTACCACCTACTATAGTTGAATGGTCATACATTGGCCTAAACATTATCATCAGCGATATTCGTAATTTTTCTATGAGCTCACTCTGAAGACTCTCACTTGTTGACTACAATCTTGTATCATGGCAGCTCAATCACTCTCAAATCTTTGACCTCACAAGACACACAATTCAACATTTTTCTCTTCTCTAGACCATTTCAGAAGGACATGATGCTCAGTAAAGTAGCAGGGCATCAAAATAAAAGGGAGGCCAGGCCTCAACCAGATGGCTTGACAGTGACTGCAATGGGCTCAAGCACAGGAACAACATGAGGAGGATGCAGCTCTGGTCAATCTTTCGTCCGCTTGGGTCTAGAGTCTCTATGGGTCAGACATCGACTTGGTGACGCCTAACAATAACAGATCAATTAAGAGAGAAATAGACTAAACATTCTCCACCCTATACTTCTTATAATGGTAACACAAGTTGAGTATACATTTCTTCTAGTTTTTAACATTTTCTGCTTTCTTTTCAATTGAAGATTTTTATGTTTTACTTTGTTATTTCTGTTAGTTTTTGTTGTTGTTTGCTTGTTTTTTAATGTCTTTCTATATATGAAATATAGGATAGGTAAATCTACAGAGAAAGTAGTAGGTATGACAAGGGAGGTCGGGAGAAAATAGGGAGCTAATAACTATGAGTATAGAGAAAGAGAAAATGTTCTAAAACTGATTGTGGTGATGACTTTACAATTCTTCCTGGTGTGATTGAAATACTGAATTGTATGCTATGTGAATTATATGCCCATAAAACTGTTTGGAAAAATTTTTGAATAAACTAGAAATTAAAAGAAATGAAGAATTAGACTCAGCACTTCATTGCTCATTTACAAGTCTATCATAAGGTGTTAGTATTTCATAGTATATTATTTTCTTTTCTTCACACTGTTTTAGCTGAGGAGAAAATATAGTAAAATGCACACCAATTCAATTATTTTTACATTGGCAAACTTCAGTGGCAATGTAATGGGTGCTCTTTAAGAAGTGCACCCATTCTCACCCTCCTTCTCTGTGTTGTCCTCCCACCAAAACCAATTCACTATGCCTTTAGATTCCTATCCAGTCCCTGAAGTTAATGTTGTCACTGCCGCTTTCCACACTGATGGTTCTTCAAAGAGCAAGTCCGACATTTTCTTTTTTTTTTTTTTTCCCCCCGACATTTTCTTATGAGTTAAGCTAGACTATGGTTTGGTTTTAAGAAGACATCAGAGGATTTTTTTTAATTTAAAAGATTCAATAATTATCTCAGGGCAATAATTTCTGGGGTTCACCCAACCTCCCTAACTCCAGCAAGTTTGAAGGCCTTCATCGTTTGAAATCAGGTTTCATTTTTACCCTTAATATTCTCAGATTGAATGCTTGATAAAAATGTTCAGTAAAGGTAGCCAGACACCATCCAGTTCTTCTGCTCTGATGGCCAAGGAATCAGGTTTACATGAAAGCAACTTACCACATGTTCCATATTCCTTCTTCATTTGATAATGCAGGTGGATAGAGATGAATTGTTGTGCCTGGGTTGGCTCTTTACAGATGGAGAAGACCCCAGGCACTATATGCTGGTTCACAGGCAGACCAGGAGGATAAAATACATTATTAGGCTAATAACCTGGGATGTGCCAAGAAATCATGGCCCTAAAGTTCCAAACTAAGGAAATACACATAGGAGTCTCAGCAGCTAGTTTTTGGTTGATTGGTTTTGTTATGGTTGTACATATACCTTCCAGGCAGCTTTTAACAGATGGACAACTTATTCACAACGATCACAACAATCGCCTGTGATCCTTAGGTGTTATGTCAACCAGGCTGAGCCCAGCTTCTCAGTGGTTTGACAATTAAGGCACACTAATCCATGATGAAATGTTGCATCATAATGGATCCGCTGTGATCAATTAACTGTAAGATTAGGTTGATTAGGATGATTGCACCCCATATCACTACCCTGATGCAACTGGAAAGATGTTTCCTCAGGTAATTGGTCTCATTCCGATATAAATGGATGTCGTAAGGAAGTTTGCTTGCTCAAGGACTATGGGTACCTAGTCCTCAAATATTATCATTGCTCTTTAACACTTTAAGTAGATTCTGTGTGGCCGATTTGCTCATGTTTCATTTCTTCACTGCTGCTTCCCTGAGTGTTGACTGTGGACCAGAATTAGTCAGAATTGACTTAGTGGCAGTGTATTTGTATTTTGTTAATGGAGACAAATTATTAGCCCAATTGAAAGATTTTTATGTAGAGAATAGAAAAATGAAGTTAAATATTAGGGTGGGATCAGAGTTCTGCAGAGAGAGAAAGAGAGAGCGAGAGCGAGAGATCCAAATAAAGGGGACCAGAAACAGAAACTATGGAGGTAGCGTCCCTAGTTTTCTCTTTGTTATTCTTGATTTAGATCCTGAACCATCACGTTTCAATCATGTAGGATAGAGCCCCATATCTCAGCAAACTAACTCCCAAGAAGGGACTTCTGCCTCAGTCTATCAGTTGTAAAGTAAAATGTCAACACACCTGTGCTTTATTATTGCATGTGAAACCTACTGCCAGTAATAAAAGACATTTGGAATTTTAAATCTACAATATAAGAGAAGAGGTAGATCATTTGGTAAAATTCGATGCTTTGTTTCATGCTCAGACAAAGCTCATTCCTGTTGACATGATGGCTAGAAATGTTGCAGGGCCTTTGTATGAAAACCCTCTAGCCAAAGACTTAGTAAGATAAAGGATGCCTTCATCCATTTTTGGTTGAAAATTAGTTGAACAACTTTTACATCTACTAAGATTACTATAATTCAAAGAAAAATTACCTTTAAGGTTGTTTTGAACTTCCAAAGCTATGTCAAGAGCATTAAAAGGCAGAACTGGTTCATTGGCAATTTGCAAAATCACTTCTCCAGAGAGCTGAAAGAAAGAAAGAAAAAAAAGTTGGCACTCAATAATTAAGGGGATTTATTTTCACTTAGCTTTGCTTTTTTTCCCCCTTCTTCTCCTTCAGTTTATATAATCTTACACATCAGAGCAGAATAGAGGGATATAATATAATTTTATAATTTTTTTCTTTCAAATCCTTTTAAAATTTTATTTTTCAATGAAAAAACCCTCAAAGAGAAAAAAAAACCCTCGATATTTTTCCATAACTCTGAGAGGTAGGAAGAAATATAATATTACATTTCTTTTATGACTTAAAGTATTAAGATATAATTTCCATTATTAAATGAGTTGCACTATTTTAACTTTAAAATAATTCCTTACAAAAATTTAAACCATCACACAATAAAACAGATATTAAAAAATAACAACTGCAAATTAATATCTGGTTATTAGACTAGATTCATTTCTGGACAAAATAACAAAGTTTGTTTTCTTTTAAAATCAGTATTAACCAAAAAATACCATACCTAAAGAAGACACTTTCCAAAACCTTAAAAATTCTTTTTCTTAAAGCTTTACTTCATTGCTCCAAAATTTAAGAAGGTTAAATCATCTATACATTTTTGTGATTAATGTTGAAATTAAAATTTAAAAGTACAACTGTTAATGGTATCCTCCAAACTCTACCCAGAATATTGATGCATGTCTATGCTCCTGTACTTCTTGCTCCAAAATTGTCTTTGAAAACAAATATATGTATTAGAGACAGAGCAGAACTTGTTTAAAGGACTGAACAAGTCATATGCATTCATAAACATCTCAAAGTAATTTACAGTTGGTATCAAGTATTTTTGCTCTCACTGTTGAGTGGTATTTACTTGGACTTAAAAAATGTCCCTGCATGTCTTTCAACACTAAAGCCAGCTCACATGGAAATGGGACTGTTGATGGTCTCCATAAATTATGCAATGTGGTTAGTGAAAGAAAGTGTTATCCTGTGAAAACTCCAGAGGGGAAATTAACACACTACCTTGAAACAGAAGAGAATGCAGAAAAGATAGGAGTTACAAGAAAAGATGATGCTAAGGAGTCAGTTTACATACCCAACGAGTGTCAAATTCCATTTACTAGTTCTAAGTTGTACAATTTTTACCATGATTTAAAAAACCATCTGGCTCTTTTATACACTTGGGAAAAATGTGTTCCCTAAAAATCAAAAAGGAGTACGACTCAGCATGGACACCCTTTTATCCTTTTGAAGAACCCCCCCGCCACACACACACACACAACCACAACCACCACAACAAATTACACCAACCACCCAGTTCTCAATGCCCACAATTTCTTTGAGCTTTATTCCTCAGCAGGATGACTGCCAATCCCTGAGAACTGCTCTCCTGGCTCTTGTCCTGATGATGCGGGACTTGGGGAAAGAGGCATGATCTGCAGTAGGCTGATATGAGCCGTTCTCTTCGGCCCACTCAGCCAAATTATGGACAGAAAACTGATCTTTAGAGGTCACTATTTGTAAAAAAGAATTTTTGAAAGAAGATTAAGAAGCACCATGGTTTCTTTTTCCCACCCAATTTTCACTGGATAATGGACACTACAGAACAAACCTGTTTTGTTTACACCTTTGGGATCAGCAAACCACACATTACAAAAGATTAAAATGAAAGTGCGGAAGGTAGAAGAAGACTGCTTCTCTTTGTATAGCTGGAGAATTTTTAAGTGTGATTTGGCAGCTCTAACAGCTGGAATGTAAGCCAGACACCTTGTTATTTCTTTCAAAAAGGAGCCTGGCAACAGAGACTGGGACTTGCAATGCACCTGGCCTATGATAGAATGCTTAGACTAAATCAGCGCTATCTGCAGCTTTATAAGGAAAAGGGAGATTTGTATATACCTTGGCAGGCAGAGAGAAGGGATACGCCATGTGGTAAACTCTTCTAACCCACTCTAGCATGTACAAGATGCCTCATTCTTCTAAAAGTGCTTTAGGCCTTCAGATTGCACTTTATTACAGGAGCCCTGGGGACTAAGCAAGGTCAGTGGTTCAAAACCACCAGCCACTCCGCAGGACAACGATGTGGCAGTCTGATCCTGTAAAGATTAAAGCCATAGAAACCCATGGAGTTGTTCTAGTCTGTGTTCTCGGGTCATCATGAATTGGAATATGAGAATATCATGATCATTATCCTCATGATGCCAGAAGTTAATCCGGGGGGAAATTAATACCCTGTACTAAAGACATTGAGAATAGTCTCCTAGAGACGAGACCATGAACAATTGTAGTAAATGATAAAATAGTAATCACTACAAATGTATTGAGGATCTACTAGGTATTATATGCTGCTTGGAAGCTTTGAAACATCATTCTCTTTAATTCCCACAACAGCCCAGTAAGCCAGATCTCACATTCATATAATAAAGCAATTGAGGTTTGCAGAAATTATGTAACATGCTCAAGTTACAAGTCAAATTTGATTTGAAGGCTTATGCTTTGTTGTTTTTTCCCTACAAATAACAAGAGTTTTGAGCCAGATTCTAACAAGAATCACTCAACAGGTTATTTGTAGAGAGATATGGCTAAACTGCAAATGTCTTGTTTGCTATTATTTCCACTATACTACACTGTTTTCCAGTGAAAAAAAATGTCTCTTTGGTAATGCTGGTCAATATTGACCGTACCTTATCTCACACCCTGGATATCTTTGATACTGGGATCCCTCTGCATCAACAAATAGTCACTCCACAGCTGTGAAACGAGTCGGCTTCTGCGAAAGTCCACCATAGGGACCCCGCGAGCACCCAACATGTCTCAATGTCCCTACGTCCGGGCTCCTCCATCTACCTTCTTCAGCCATCCTACTCCCGGCCAGCTGATAAGGTGAGACATGAAATAAATACAACTGTACAGCAGTAAAAATGTTTAAAAAGAGAAAAGGATTTCATAGCAAAATACTTAATCAATACTAATAAATAATATTGATTTCCCTAGAGTTAGTGATCTCATTGATGTTAGTCAAGGTCAGACTGCCAAAAGAAAATAACTGCACATAGAACCTTCTCGATTTTAAAGGTAATACAGGCAAATGATGTTTATCACATTTAAAATGTGTTATCTTCCTTGATGCCTGAAATCACCCTATTTTTATGTAAAGATTAGAAAGAAACTTATCAACGTGAAAAACTATACCTATGAGGAGACTTCTAAAAGTTTCTGGAAAAATTAAATGAAATGATAATGGAATTTTATATTTCTGGTGTGTGTGTGTACACACTGCTGTCAAATGGACTCCAACACAGAGCAATGGTATTAGAGTTGAACTGCTCCAAAGGGTTTCTGAAACCATAAATCATTAGGGAAGCAGACAGTCATTCTCCCATAGAGCGCTGGGTGAATGGTGAATTCAAACCACAGATCTTTCAATTCGTAGCCCCAACCTTAACCCACTATGCCACCAGAATGCTCTGCTCTTCCTGTCTTCCTCTCTCTCTCTGTCTCTGTCTCTCTCTCTCTCTCTCTCTTTCTCTCTCTCTCTCTCTCTGTCTCTCATCACTATGAATAGGAATTGACTTGTAGACTCATAATACAACACACATCTTTGTATATATAGATGATTCTGTCTTAATCTTTCCTTTACTTACCAGTCTGTAGATTGGTGTGTGTGTAGACATCTATCTATATGTGTGTACGCACACACACACACACACACACACACACACACACCCCTCTATACTCATATAACGAAGCATCTAGAAAGTAGGATGCTTCCCCTTAGAGTATTTACTGCACCCATTGCCAATATGTTGACTGTACCTGCAAATGAGTGTATCAATTCATACAGGAATAATGAAGTTGGCCACAAATAGATTCGTTAAGGTAATACAAACACAACAGGTTCATAATGTAATTTAATTTTAGTTTCAGGAAGAAATACTTAATAAACACCGTGGGGTTTATTCCACTTTTATACCATAATTTGAGATTCAAGTAACTATCGTTCATATCACAGACTTACGCTGTTAGCAAAATTATTTTTGTGGGAGTGTTTTTATGGCCTCAGGTGGCTTTTAAATGCTAGAGAGCCCTGTTACAGAGCACGGTGCTGAGAGATAATCATAACACCTGTTTTATAGGTTCCTGTAAAAGTGAATCTGAAAGAGAGTGGGGCTTGTGTCATGTAATATTATGAATGACAGATGTATCCTAAATCAGCCAACTAATATTTCTTGACCCTTTTGTGTGTGATTATTACTGTGCTGTTAGACCTCGCTTCTCGGCCTTTTGGCGAAGATCAAGTGTATTTGCTATAAGAGACATCTTATCACTATGACTCAAGGGCAGGGGACATTAACAGCATAGAATTATCTTTCTCTTGTTTTCTAGAAAGCACCATTTCTATTGCATTTTAAATATACCACATAGACTTCAGGTATGCACTTTTGGCCCAAAAATCTTGGGATGCAAAAGGTGAAATGCACTCTGGGCAGGGGGTATGATGAGGACAGAAAGGAGCATCAATATCTGTAAGCCACATGAAGAAATGTGAGTAACTGACATAGAGTAACTGAAGTTGTTGGTTGTTGGAAAGTAATTTCGTACATAGTGGTTGTGAGGTCAGATGCTCTAAAACTCAACCAAGGCACATGACCATGAATCAGAGATGTATAGGGAGTCCTTTCTCCTTCTTTGAACTTTCAGAGCAAAGGCATTAACTGATAAATTATGGCCCCACGAGGGCTTTCTAACAGGATTTTGTGGTACATGGTGTCCTTAAAGGTGTCAATGGTCCCACTAAAGTGAACGGACTCAGATTTATGTTACTTGATAGTAGAGAAACACCTGATTTAACAACAAATACTCTATGGATAACAAACCTCAGACATCCCGGGCCATCTCCTTAGAGATGAGTTGAGTAAGAAACACACCTGTCAGTGCCTATGACCCCTTTCTGCAGCTCTGGTGTCAGGAAAAGGAAAAGGATATATCTCTGGCATCACAATGCATTTTCTCAACAAACAGG